GTGTACAGTCACACAATGGCACATATTGTAGTTGGCGACAATATGTACTTTGAACATTTGCACATTTCGTTGCTAATATATTGTCTTAAAGAATATTTACCGGGGTCTTCAACAGAGAGAGAGAGAGAAAAGATAAGAGAGAAAGAGAGAGAAACAGAGAAAGTCTAAGTAGAGAATTAGATAAACAAGCAATAATGTAGAGAGAATTTTTTTTTGGTCAAAAGAATGTGTCAAAGACCAGCATGGCATGCCAAGATAATGGAATTCTGGATTTATCTTATAATATAGCCTATTCTTTTTTCTCGATTTTTTTTCTTTATTTGGAGATTGAATGTTAATTTTTGAGTTCAGTAATAATAATTATATGGATTATATTTTTGTGTGTCTCTTACACACGTACCGATATTATTGGGGTTGGGGTTGAATTTGTTTAAAGTCTTCTCATTAATATATTAAACCTGCCGCTATAGAAGTTAAATATATTTTTAAGTGCTTCTTTAGTGATAATGGGAAATTTGTTAAAAACAAAACAAAACAAAACACAAACTTTTAGTGCACTGGGTATCAGTGAGCCAAAATGATGATAGTTCTTTTTTAATAGAAAGCTGGTGTTTGAGAGAGAGAGAGAGAGAGAGAGAGAGAGAGAGAGAGAGAGATTCCTAGTCTTTTTGTGAATAAATATTAATCATGTTATTTGCACTATTCTCCCCTTCACAGTATTACTTGCACATTTGTATATTTATTAAAGTTTTCGTTGCAGCTGCTTCACTGGAGTTGATAAAATAACGTACACGCTATCTAAAAACAAGAGGCCCAGGGGCCACATCGCTCACCTGAGCACTGTGGCTAGGAAAAGAGGAAAATCTGTTTAGTATTGAAAAGCTTAAATGCGTAAGTGGTCCCAACCTACCCCTAAAAGGGAGTGGGGGTATGATTTGAACAAAATTAAATCCACACTAACTAAGGATGCTTACATGATTTTTTTTGACTAACTGTGACTTTTTTCTCTACAAGTTTGAACTTTCATTGTGGCCCCACCCTACCCCTGGAGGTCATGATTTGAACAAACTTGAATCTACACCACCTGAGGATGCTTCCATATAAATATGACCAATCATAGCTTTGTTGTTCTTGAGAAGAAGATTTGTCCTATATATTGCTACGTAAAACTTTAATCGTCCATTGTGGCACCACCCTACCCTGGGGGTCATGATTCGAACAAACTTGAATCCACACCACCTGAGGATGCCTCCAAATAAATATGACCGATCATAAGTTTGCTGTTCTCGAGAAGAAGATTTTTGAAGATTTTTCCTATATACTCCTATGTTAAACTTTGAGTGTCCATTGTGGCCCCACACAACCCCCGGGGGTCATGATTTGAACAAATTTGAATCTACACCACCTGCAGATGTTTCCATATAAATATTACCAATCATAGCTTTGCTGTTCTTGAGAAGAAGATTTTTAAAGATTTTTCCTATATACTCTTATGTTAATTAAAACTTTAATCTTCCATTGTGGCCCCACCCTATCCCAAGGGGTCATGATTTGAACAAACTTGAACCCACATCACCTGAGGATGCTTCCATATAAATATGACCAATCACAGCTTTGCTGTTCTTGAGAAGAAGATTTTTGAAGATTTTTCCTATATATTCCTATCTAAAACTTTGATCGTCCATTGTGGCCCCACCCTACCCCCGGGGGTCATGATTTGAACAAATTTGAATCTACACCACCTGAGGATGCTTCCATATAAATATGACCAATCATAGCTTTGCTGTTCTTGAGAAGAAGATTTTTGAAGATTTTTCCTATATATCCCTATGTAAAACTTTGATCGTCCATTGGGCCCCATCCTACCCCCGGGGGTCATGATTTGAACAAATTTGAGTCTACACTACCTGACAATAATTCCACATGAGTTTCATCTTTCCTGGCACATTTGTTCTTGAGAAGATTTTTCAATAATGCTATTAATTTTTTGCTATTTCGTAATTATCTCCCCTTGGAGGGGGGCGTGGTCCTTCATTTGAACAAACTTGAATCCCCTTTACCCAAGGATACTTTGTGCCAAGTTTGATTGAAATTGGCACAGTAGTTCTGGAGAAGAAGATGAAAATGTGAAAAGTTTACGACAACGCCAACGACGACGACAACGACGACAGACAACGGACAAATTTCAATCAGAAAAGCTCACTTGAGCCTTCGGCTCAGGTGAGCTAAAAATTGAACATAAAATTTTCGATATCATCATCATCATCATCAAATTTTGTGCGATAACAGAAGGCACAAATTTTCGCCAGCAACAATATGTACATGCGTACTCAATAATTTTGCGTCTGCGAAAACTTGTACCGATGGACGACAATATATGTGCAGTTAAGATAGGTACACATTGTCGCCGGCCACAATATGTACAGGACGACAGTATGTACCGTCATGATCGAACTGTATGAAATAGCCTGCGAAACACGCTGGTTAATTTACACACCAATTACATTATCAAAACTACAAAAATGAAATCCTTAAGCAACCCTAACTGTAGCGCGAAAATATGTGCAGTGAGGGTAGGCACATTATGTCGCCAGCGACAATATTTATATTATAATTTTTCAGCCGGCGACAATAGTGTCGGTGGACGACAATATGTACAGTGAGTATAGCTGTATATTGTCGCCGACAATTTATACAAAAGTACAATATATACGCTACGGTAGAAGATGGAAATGGCTTCTTAGAAAATCTTTCCAATCAGATGACTTACAAAAAAAAGCAGTGCTTGCTGTTTATTATCAATCGATTGTTAACAGCAATTTCTAATTGGTTTTCTTAAGAAATAACGTAGAAAATATGCATTGCAAATCTATATTGAGAGATAAATCTTTAAAATTGGATAAAAACATTTCTTTTACATGTATTGAAAATAATTCCCAATTTTGTGATAGGTGTTATTTTTATCCAAGCTTTGAGTATTTCCTCTTTCACATCCTCCATCCCCTCCTGAACACATGACTACGTGTTGTTCCTCATACCTTTACAGACTTGATCTTTCTCACTCCAGATATAACCTGAGCAGCATCCCTTATATCCCCTACAATACATAATAGTATATAAAAGTTTAATCAAAATAAATATTGTGATTTTCAGGAAATGTAGAAAGTTAAGAGTAGCAGAGTAAGAAAAGTGTTCTGTTTCATAATTATTGCAAAGATTTCAAAGAAAAATGGTTACGTAATACCCTTCACACATAGGTACACATTCAGAAATGCTTAGGCTCAATCCGATAACCAACATGGTGTTCAATGCGTTCATTATCTAGCAAATTATTCCTAATAGTTACATGTAGCACGTTGGTCTAATAGAAAGCTGGCATTTTAATTCGTTGTCAAATCGAAAGTACTCAATTAGCAATGCTTGTACTTAATTCTTTTCCTTCCCTTTCCGTTTTTTAAATTTTAACGTATATTTAGACGATATTTTACTTTTGTTCTAAAGCTATTCTGCTCTAATAAAATCCACTTTCAAAACAAAATTGCTTGACTTTAAGTGAATTGTGAGTTTCTAACACGGAGACGGGGAAAGTATTCTTATCTAGGGCTTGCATGCAAGAAAGAAATATGAGTGGATGTTAAATTGTAATATTCATACTTTCCCTTATTAGTTTCCATGAATAAATATGTAGTAGGTACGTGTATCTTCTTCATCAATTAATAATAGTCCATATGTAAATTGGTTACTAATAGCGAGCTTTATTTTAGATGAAGCTTTTCTTCTGTAGATTTTCTATGTAACATCCTTTTGAAAATGTTACCCATGCCATACATAAAAATTGGAGTCATTAAATTCTTATGAAGAGAGTTAAATTCAATAGAAGAACTCTGAACAAAATTAAAGTAAGATCCGTTTTTAACAGTTTAAAGCCATTTTTAACGTACGGAATATTAGCACAACATACAATGTACATACGTACTTTCAATCTCTTTATACAATTGCTTTAAACAGATTTGCTAAAACTTGACGGTTGCACTCACTGATTACGCTGGTTGTTCCCGAATTAATAATGGTTGATGTATGTTGTTTCACGTCCATTCGAGAATTTTTCACTCATATAGAGACGTCACCATGTACCGGTGAAGGGATTTTGACCTTTACTCGGCACTCAGGGCCATTGAGCAGTGAGGGATCTTTATCGTGCCAACGCCTGCCGTGACACGGGGCCTCAGTTTTTAAGATCTTATCCGAAGGACCCGCAACTATCACAAAGTGCCGAGCGCATGGTGAAGGAACAGTTGCTACTCATTTTTTTTTTTATCGACTTAGGTCAGTCGCGGTCGAGATTCTAACTCATGACCTCCCGGTCACGGAGCGTGCGCTCTACCGACTGAGCTACCGTGAACGGTTCCGAATAAATAAAGTTTTAAAATGGAATAGAAAAAAATGATGTTGATGATAAAGGACAATATTTTTTACTTTCTAATCGTTTATTCCATGACGTATAAATCCGAGAGAAAAACTATAACCCAATCATAATGAAGTATTTGTACGGAAGTCCAGAAAAGCATATATAACTTTGTAATATACTGTAATCATGTTATTTGAATCACCTTTTAGATATATAGATGATCAGTCTGTATGAATGCAACATCATCAGAAATAGATAGGTCAACAGTTTCACCAAAAAATGTACTGTCAGCTTATATTTTAATCTTGTTATAGCTACAGAGCCTACAAAATTATTGAGATGTGAGACTGTTGCTTCTTTGAGGTTCTTGTTAAAACTAAATTTAAAAGGGATAATATCAAGACACAAATAAGAAATGCTATAAAATATTCAAGTCCCAGTAAACACAATGCTCTGAGCTGATCTTGCATACTTTCAAAAAAATAGGTATAAATTCTTCATAATGAAAAATTTTAATCAGATACTTAAAAAATCTAATTACATAAATCAAGAGGATCAATTCCCCACAAACACATTACAAACTCTGTTCTTATCATTTTATCATACTGGGTAATTTCTCATTCTTTGAAGTCTTCTGCTGGTTTTGTCTTTTCCTGAAAATGCAAACTCCGAACCCGATCAAACTACTGAAGAGTAAGCCCCCTATTGTTCCACCTGCTATTATTCCGATCGTATCTTCAGCTGAAAAGATAAATAATAAACAATAACACATAGGGCCACGCATTCTGAGATTTTGAAACTATACCTATGCTTTGGGTCAGAATTTGAAGTGTCAGAATTATATCTTCTGTGCTTACATTTGAAAATAGCATCCCTTGGTATCAGTTTCAATTTGAATCGAGACCTTTCTTGGTTTGGTTTGTGACTTTGTACTTCAACATAGAATGTTGAGTTCCTCCTCATTTGGATAAAATATTTCTCGACTGCACGTTTAGTACAGTTATAAGTCTGGAAGCATGAAATAGTACATAGTATTACAATTCTAAAATAAACGATGAGAAAGAATTCTGTTTCTGCTTTTATTTTTGTTAATTTGAGCAGTCCACCAGAAAACCAGCAATTGGATGCACGTCACATGTCATGTTTATGTTATTTTTAAACAAATCATCAATAACATCATCCATTAGGAACAACGTGAATATCATTTATCAAATATTCAAGTAATCATCCCATTGTACAAACCACCTTTTTCTATAAAATATTGCCATGTTTTCTTGCGGACTGACTTTTATTAACTTAAAGCTTTGAAAATGTTTTCCTTTCCTTTTTGCTGTGGTAAGAAAAAATAAAATGAATTGTATTCTATAATTATTAACATTTTCAATACTATAAGTAAATAAAAGTATATTACTATAAAATCATTACATTAGCACAGCTTGCAATGTGCCACCCATCCCTGGATTTCTTGTGGATTGTCTCTTAATCTTATACAGAATCAACAAAACCTTTGAAAATATAGAAGAAACAGGTCTTACAGTTAATGGTTCAGCTTTTCTCAAGGCCTTGTATATTAATGAAATGGAACAATCTGGATCTTCATGATACAGAGGATTAACCATCAGTTCAAAGGTCAAAAGGTCGGGGTCAGTAAGTGAAGAAAAAGATATTTGGTGGCATCTGATGTCTCCTCCTTGATAAGACAGTAGAATGACCTCAGCATTTAGAGGATTTAAGACGTGGGATGGATTCTCACAGGCGTAGGTTGTAAAAGAATCTGTTAGCAATTCAAAAACTCTCTCAAAAATATTTTTTCTTTCCCAAAGCAAATTCTCAGCGTATAATCGTGAGTGCATCAACTGATAATTTTAAAATAGTTATTCTTGACAATTTCTCAATTTCCTAAATAATTGATATTGATTTCCAAACACAATATACGTGCAGTTTCCTATATTACTGATATCAAACTGTATTGTACATTCTCTAAGATTACTTTTACGTTTTTGTTAAATCTTTCTCCGGTGACATCTCTGATGATCAAGTCATTTCATTTTGCAGTCAACTGACCATGCACCAAGACTACACAAAAGCAATAATCTTACATTTTTTTTTCGAAATTATCATCAAAATTGATTCTTATAGAGAGTCCAGACAGAAGGATAAAAGATAAGAAGTACATTACATTCAAACACCTGGTAAGCATGGCAACCAGAGTCTGTGATGACGATCAGGAAGCTTAGGAGGAGAGACATCATGTCTGCAAGCATGAAGAATAATCAGCAAAATAACAAATAATAGCAAATAAATAAATCTCAGACATACATTGAAAATTCCATTTTATTTTTCTTATGTTCTAAAGATTATACGAAACAAAATGAACTTACCTTTCTTAATAGGTTCCATCTCTATTGGTATGCTCAAAGAAGAAATACTTCCTTTACGACAGAAATTACACAATAGCAATGTTAATAAAACGAGAGAGAAATTTTTCAATATCACTTCATATTTGTGTCATTAAGGGGTCTTTTTTTTAAATTGAAGAAAACTGGTACGTTTAATTTTAATCTAGGATATTGACTGCATATCTGTTTTACGTATACACAATAACCCAAGCAAATTTTTATCTATTTTAATAATCTTTCATTGCAATTTACAAACTGGCAATTACAAAAAAGGATATTGTTTATAATATATTATGAATATCTCCTTTACATATCTTGCATGGCATAAAATATTTCATTATAATCCCGCTAGAAAGACCAAGGGTAACCTGACTTAAATTGCTTTGATGGCGCTCATCAACATGCATAGTTGTATGAATTTAAATGAAACAGTGCATACAAAGAAGATGAGTTTTTAAAACACTGATGCCCCGGAATGGCAATTCATGCCAATGTGAAAGTTTTTAAAAGTAGGCCAGACACAAAGTTATAGCTAAAAGGTAAAAAGAAAAGAATCGTACCCAAAGAAATGTCTTGTCAAAAGAAATACACAGGTAGAATATGAAAGCCCGAACACTAACCTCTCAAAAGTTATTGCCAAGGTTAAATTTTTCCCCCAAAAATAGAACAAACACGAAGCTAAGTTCAGGATATCAAAAATTTCAGGAAAATGTCAAGAAAATTTTGACGCAGTGTAATTTCAATAATCTATAATCTTCCGATAATTCAAGCTAATGCATCACAATGAAAAGGACACTAGGATTCATTAAGAAGGTCAAGGTACGAAATGTTTGACAAAGTTGAATTGATGTTTTCAGTCCGTTTGTGATTTTACCAAGAACAACATTGTGGGACGAACAATGAGATATAGAAAAGAAAACAATTTGATTTATATTTTTTATATTTCCCTAGTATATGAAATATATGGAGATAATATTCAAGCTCAAAAGTCCATTCAACAATACAATTTTTGGATCAGAGCAAACACAGACCTCTAAAACATCAAAGGTGGGATCAGGTGCCTTGGAGGAATGATCATCCCCTGCCAACCGGTCACACCCGCCGTGTGCTCCTTTGCATGATCTGGATTACCGGAAAAAATCCCTCGACGATTCATTGTGTAAATAATGGCCTAACAATTAGTATGATAAAACGTCAGTCATGCAGCATTTGACTTAATGATAAATTGTATTTGCTGACAAGGTCATTATATCGACCATAGAACTTACGAAATGACGACTTCAAACGAGACTGCTGATATTCATGTTTCATCAACTTGTTTGTCAATAACTTACCTCTTTTTAGAAATTGTTCATACGTAGAGCATGCTCTATCGATCAACTGAGAGACGTAAACCCCATATGCAGGTGATGAAGGTATATTGCTGCATTAGTAAGGGAAGTTGACGATTGAAAAGTTAAAGTCATCACGTTTATCATAAAGCTTGGTTGTTAGATTACCACTAACGTCTTTTTCTAGTAAAAATATCCAAATATGAAACAGATGTGTCAGAATATCAGCAGTCTCGTTTAAAGTCGTCATTTCGTAAGTTCTATGGTCGATACAATGACCTTGTCAGCAAATACAATTTATCATTAAGTCAAATGCTGCATGACTGACGTTTTATCATACTAATTGTTAGGCCATTATTTATACACTGAACTGTCTACGGATTTTTCCTGTTTTTGTTTCCCGATCATGACAAGGAGCACACGGCGTGTGTGACAGGTCGGCAGGGGATGCTCGCTCCTCCATGGCACTTGATAGTCCGCTACCCAATTGCTATAACCAAACTGAAAAACGCAGGGGGATTTAGATAAAGTGTTATGGAACACAGTTATGACATTTAAATAATTATATTTAAAGCGCAAAATTGCATGTTAATATATGTATAAATAACAAAGTTTGGACATTAATTTTGACATACACCTTGATCCTGGTCGCAAGTATAAAGTAAAATTTAATAGCTTTAGCGTTTATCTCCATCATAAGTAATCTTATTCAATAAGAAAATAAATATCATACATCATAAAAGTGATGAAACTGTTGATTTAGGTGAACATAACTTGTTCTTGTTTGACATCATATATAAAAGATGATTTAAAAGTATTTCTTATTTAACTAAGAACTCAGAGTATTGAAAGTACCTATGCGAGGTGTAGTCATCTGATATCCATTGCAAATTTAAATGGCAGATTCGAACACCTTTCAATATCTTTAGAGTATAATAAATGTTTTGTAGTTAAATATGGAATTTATTTCACTCTCGAGTCAGGATTGTTGGACATTTTCACGATTGCGGTCTTGAGACGTCATAGCTAAGCGATTTTGAGATTGAAAATTGAAAAGATATATAAAATCACTATTTGAAGGAAGTCTCTGTCAGGATTGTTTGTTTACTTTTGCTATCTTATAACAGGCTAGGGAATAGTTAGAAGGAAGTCTCTGTCAGGATTGTTTGTTTACTTTTGCTATCTTATAACAGGCTAGGGAATAGTTTTTACCACTAGCTTCGAACGGGAAGGAAAAACAAGAGTTTTACTGCACATTTGAGATTTTTTTTTCTCACACTAAAAATATCACTTTTATTCCATTAATAAATTACAGTGATCATAACAAAAAATACTAAAATTAACAATAGTTTACTATAGTTAACTATAGATAACTATAGTAAATCAAAGTTTCAAAGTTATCACTTTAGTAAATCAAAGTTTTCAAAGTTATCACTATTGTGTCAAAGTTATCATTATAGTAAATCAAAGTTTTCATAGTGTCAAAATTATCACTATAGTAAATCAAAGTTTTCATAGTGATAAATATAGTAAATCAAAGTTTTCATAGTGTCAAAGTTATCACCTATAGTAAATCAAAGTTTTCATAGTGTCAAAGTTATCACCTATAGTAAATCAAAGTTTTCATAGTGATAAATATAGTAAATCAAAGTTTTCATAGTGTCAAAGTTATCACCTATAGTAAATCAAAGTTTTCATAGTGTCAAAGTTATCACTATAGTAAATCAAAGTTTTCATAGTGATAAATATAGTAAATCAAAGTTTTCATAGTGTCAAAGTTATCACCTATAGTAAATCAAAGTTTTCATAGTGTCAAAGTTATCACTATAGTAAATCAAAGTTTTCATAGTGATAACTATAGTAAATCAAAGTTTTCATAGTGTCAAAGTTATCATTATAGTAAATCAAAGTTTTCATAGTGTCAAAATTATCACTATAGTAAATCAAAGTTTTCATAGTGATAAATATAGTAAATCAAAGTTTTCATAGTGTCAAAGTTATCACCTATAGTAAATCAAAGTTTTCATAGTGTCAAAGTTATCACCTATAGTAAATCAAAGTTTTCATAGTGATAAATATAGTAAATCAAAGTTTTCATAGTGTCAAAGTTATCACCTATAGTAAATCAAAGTTTTCATAGTGTCAAAGTTATCACCTATAGTAAATCAAAGTTTTCATAGTGATAAATATAGTAAATCAAAGTTTTCATAGTGTCAAAGTTATCACCTATAGTAAATCAAAGTTTTCATAGTGTCAAAGTTATCACCTATAGTAAATCAAAGTTTTCATAGTGTCAAAGTTATCACCTATAGTAAATCAAAGTTTTCATAGTGTCAAAGTTATCACTATAGTAAATCAAAGTTTTCATAGTGATAAATATAGTAAATCAAAGTTTTCATAGTGTCAAAGTTATCACCTATAGTAAATCAAAGTTTTCATAGTGTCAAAGTTATCACCTATAGTAAATCAAAGTTTTCATAGTGTCAAAGTTATCACCTATAGTAAATCAAAGTTTTCATAGTGTCAAAGTTATCATTATAGTAAATCAAAGTTTTCATAGTGTCAAAGTTATCACCTATAGTAAATCAAAGTTTTCATAGTGATAAATATAGTAAATCAAAGTTTTCATAGTGTCAAAGTTATCACCTATAGTAAATCAAAGTTTCCATAGTGTCAAAGTTATCACCTATAGTAAATCAAAGTTTTCATAGTGATAAATATAGTAAATCAAAGTTTTCATAGTGTCAAAGTTATCACCTATAGTAAATCAAAGTTTTCATAGTGTCAAAGTTATCATTATAGTAAATCAAAGTTTTCATAGTGTCAAAGTTATCACCTATAGTAAATCAAAGTTTTCATAGTGATAAATATAGTAAATCAAAGTTTTCATAGTGTCAAAGTTATCATTATAGTAAATCAAAGTTTCCATAGTGTCAAAGTTATCACCTATAGTAAATCAAAGTTTTCATAGTGATAAATATAGTAAATCAAAGTTTTCATAGTGTCAAAGTTATCACCTATAGTAAATCAAAGTTTCCATAGTGTCAAAGTTATCACCTATAGTAAATCAAAGTTTTCATAGTGATAAATATAGTAAATCAAAGTTTTCATAGTGATCATTATAGTAAATCAAAGTTTTTATAGTGTCAAAGTTATCACCGATAAGTGAATCAAAGTTTTCATAGTGACCACTATAGAAAATCAAAGTACAACGTTTACACTATTGTAAACGAAAGTTTCAAAGTCAGCATTATGTTTTATAAAGGTTTTAGACATGAAGCCTCTGGATATTAAAAGTTTAGAATTTATTACCATAATATATAATTTTCTATGATACATGTAGAAGTTATTAATTTCACAACATAGGTATTATCAAGTTTTGCAGACTATCTCAATTCACAAAAAATATCTATAAATGTCTTCTATTTCAAATAATCCCATGCACTTTGCATGCAATTCCTTTTTTTTTTTTTTTTTTTTTTTTTTTTTTTTTTTTTTGCATTCATTTTTTTTTAATTCTATACTTTGTTAAAAAAAAAAACTATGGTTTTCAAATGCTTCTACTGGATAACATCTCTAAAATGAATATTGTTTGGCTTTTGTTTCAACTGACTTTTTTATATTAGTAGTGTGTAAACAAAACATATAGAGTACATGTAATCATCCGAAA